GCCATCACCAACGCGTAAAGGTCCGTAAATCTTTCGCAGAATCTTTCTCTCGAAAACTCCAAGAGCCGCCTCATCAGATGCTTTCATTGTCCATGCTTCCGCGCCATACACCAGCACAGGCACGATGAGTGACTTATAGAGTGTGATCTTTGTACGACGAGAGAGGACTTTACTTCTCAATTGCCTACTCAGCCCAAAGTAGCACTTGTTGGCAAGAGTGATTCTCCGTTGGATTTCAAGGCTGACATTATTATTGGTGTTAATGCTGGTTCCCAAATAAACGAAGTCGTCTACTTTTTCAAACTTGTAACTGTCAACAGTGACGTGGGTGCCAAGACGCGTATGCTCTGACTGTTTGTGTGCTGACAGGAGATACTTCGTTTTGTCCTCGTTCACCACCAGACCCATTCGCTTTGCTTCTCTATCCAATCCCGAGAAGGCAGAACAGACGTAGCCCTTGTTTTTACCGATAATATCGATGTCGTCGGCATACGCCAGCAATTGTACGCTCTTATGAAGTATTGTGCCTGAGCGGTTCAGTTCTGCGGCTCTTATTATCTTCTCCAACATAAGATTAAAGAAATCACACGAAAGGGGGTCCCCTTGTCTGAAACCTCGTTTGGTATCAAACGGCTCGGAGAGGTCCTTCCCTATTCTGACGGAGCTGGTGGTATTGCTCAACGTCATTTTACACAGCCGTATTAGTTTCGCGGGGATACCAAATTCAGACATCGCGGCATAAAGGCAACTTCTCTTCGTGCTGTCGAAAGCGGCTTTGAAATCGACAAATAGATGGTGTGTGTCGATCCTATTCTCGCGGGTCTTTTCCAAGATTTGGCGTATTGTGAATACCTGATCTATGGTGGATTTTCCAGGCCTAAAGCCACACTGATAAGGTCCAATTAGCTCGTTGACTGTGGGCTTCAGTCTTTCGCACAATACACTCGATAAGACCTTATAACCTATGCTTAGAAGGCTGATTCCGCGGTAGTTGGCGCGTATGGCGGGGTCGCCTTTCTTGTGGATTGGGCAGAGCACACTTAAATTCCAGTCGTCGGGCATGCGTTCATCTGACCATATTCTGCATACGAGCTGATGCATGCACCTCATCAGCTCCTCGCCGCCGTACTTGAATAGCTCGGCTGGCAGGCCGTCAGCTCCAGCAGCTTTGTTGTTTTTCAGCCGCGTAATCGCTATTCGTACCTCGTCATAGTCAGGCGGTGGGACAGCTACTCCATCATCATCGACTGGGGACTCGGGTTCGTCTTCCTCACTACTTTCAGCGCTGCTACCATTCAGTAGGTTATAAAAGTGTTCCCTCCACAATTTAAGTATATTCTGGACATCGGTCACTAGGTCGCCATTGTTGTTCTTACAGGAGTTCGCCCCGGTCTTGAAACCTTCCGTAAGTCGCCTAACCCTCTGGTAGAATTTTCGGGCGTTCTTCCTGCCGGCCAGCATCTCAAGCTCTTCGCACTCACGTATTTCGGCCTCTCTCTTCTTATTGCGGCAAATACGTCTCGCTTCCTTCTTCAGTTCCCTATAACGGTCCCACATGGCTCGCGTTGCGCCCGATCGCAGCGTGGCCCTGTAGGCGGCATCTTTTTTCTCTGCGGCTTCTTGACATTCCTCATCGTACCAGTTGTTCTTTCGGGCTCGCTGAAATCCAACTACTTCTTCGGCGGCGGTACTTAATGATCGGGAAATGTGGTTCCACTGCTCGCGTACGTCGGATTGTTGAAGAGTGCTCTCAGAGAGCAGGTGTGTGAGTCGAGTGGCGAATAAATTGGCCGTCTGTTGTGATTGCAGCTTTTCGACGTTAAGCTTTCCTTGCATTGTTGGGCGCACATTTTTTGCTGCACAGAGGCGGGTGCGTATCTTGGCTACAACAAGATAGTGGTCCGAGTCGATGTTTGGCCCTCGGAGTGTACGTACGTCCAAAACGCTTGAAGCATGCCTTCCGTCTATCACAACATGATCGATTTGGTTTCTCGTTTTTCGATCTGGAGACAGCCATGTAGCTTGGTGGATGTTCTTATGCTGGAACCTAGTACTACATATTACCATATTTCGGGCCCCGGCGAAGTCGATCAGCCTCAGCCCGTTATCGGACGTTTCGTCGTGGAGGCTGAATTTTCCGACAGTGGCGCCAAAGATCCCTTCCTTGCCCACCTTGGCATTAAAATCGCCAAGCACGATTTTGACATCGTGTCGGGGGCAGCGCTCATATGTACGTTCCAAGCGCTCATAGAAGAGATCCTTGGACGCCTCATCCTTCTCTTCCGTCGGGGCATGGGCGCAGATGAGCGAGATGTTGAAGAATCTAGCTTTGATGCGGATTGTGGCTAGACGTTCGTCCACCGGGGTGAACGCCAGTACTCGGCGACGGAGTCTCTCTCCTACCACGAATCCAACACCGAATTTGCGCTCCTTTACGTGGCAACTGTAGTAGACGTCGCAAGGCTTCACGCTTACTTTACCTTGCCCCGTCCATCGCATTTCTTGGATGGCGGTGATGTCAGCCTTTGTCTTCCCGAGGACATCAACCAGCCGGGCAGAGGCACCTTCCCCATTAAGGGTCCGGATATTCCAGGTGCATACCCTTAAATCATAGTCCTTTATACGTTTGCCGTGGTCGTCATCAGAAAAAGGGGGTCTCATCCGAGGCTGTTTGTTTCTTTTCATTGGGCGGGGTTTTAACGTGGCGGGACCCAAACCCAGCGCACGCGAAGTTTTACGCCTTCTCACTTTAGCTCGCTCCCAAACGGGTGTTTGGTTGCTACCCAGAGGATACGTGGATATAAATATCCGGACGTTGTGAGCTGCGATTTGAACCGTACGCACAAGAATCGCTTCTGGCCACTCCCAGGTGAATGGCAGTCAAAAGTTTTCCACTTCTGCGCACGGAACCATCCTCCCCCTGCAAATGCGCGTGGAAATTATAGGACTAAAGTTAGAAAAACACACAGATTTTATTGTGGATTTCGGCAGATTATCGCTTAATTAACAACATTTGTGCTACTACTTTTTCAATTTTGATGCGAGTCGGAGATATGACGTAATTCTTTTACGAAATCCGTCCGACTTAAAAAAGCATGGCTAATATATAAGAATGAAATGTTTTTCGTATGACCGCTATGCCTGACCAAACGGCTGAACCGATTTCGATTCTGTATAAAGTATTTTTTTTGGTACTTGTATGTGGAAGGTTCCGCAGTAAAACAAATCAAAACTTTTTGTTGTTGTTGTCCCGTCACGATTTCACAATTTCATAGAGTTTTCATAGAGTGTGTTTGGTCTGGCTTGGCCATTTGTTTATGTTATACGAATTTACTTTTCAGATGACTAAATAACGGATGGGATAAAGTTTCATATAAAGACCTGCAAAATTGTGTAGGCGCATATTTTTCTGACGCCCTCATACATCCTAAATGCAATCTGGCATATACCTCCGTTTGACAAAATTGCTGGGCAGGCTGTTATTGCAGAAATAAGAATCAATGAAAACAGTTAATAAATAATAAAAACAGTGAATTAACAAGGAAAGATTCGACTTATATAAAAGCCTTAAATTGAACGATATTCAAGAGATCACACGACTCATCTATCTAATATACGTACATACATATAAGCTTTTCATCCTGTGGGACAGCGAGGATTAATGGCCCTCCTTTAACAGAAAACACACATCTGTGCTCTAGCGTTTCCTTATAAGGACTTTTATTGGCTTACGAATCGGACCAATGTTGTAGTTGCAAGATCATACATAAAGATTACGAATGCTTGGCAGAGATCTCATAGGTGGAAATAAAACCATCGGTAAAGCTCATGACATCGAAAGGGATTAGTATTCAATAGGTATCACAGCGTTACTATTCTTGGCCTATATATGAAGAGGATACTTAAACTAAAAATTTTGATGTGACATACTTTTAAACGCTCTTTTGGGTAGTAAAAATAATAATAATATTCTATTCAGGGCTAATAAATCAAGGATCATTGAAAAAAGTTTTCCAATCCTCTAGTTTTTGTGGAAAAAGTTGACAAAATTATTTTTGGTCCCGTATTGGGCGGAACTTTCTGTAGTCAATTCTGCTCCGGATGCGGGCATACCTCTAACCTCCTGCAAACACAGACTAAAGGCGAAACTCGTTGAGGAGGTAAATTTAAGATGGGCTGTGGAAACCACCTGTCATATTACCAGGCAAATATGGCCAAAGATTGATGTAAAGCGATCCATAGCTCTCACCCGGCTGGACCGCTCCTCTCTCAGATTAGTAGTCGGGGTAATCACCGGACACTGCCTGATGGGCACACACGGAAAAAGGTTGGGATACCTCACCAACGATTTCTGTCGCAGTTGCAGAGACGAGGAGGAGGTGGAGACCATCGAACACTATCTCTGCCACTGTCCCGCCCTGTCCAACATGCGCAACCAATTCTTCAACAAGTACTTTGTAGATTGTTTAGCCGATTTGAACTCGGCGAACGTTCTCGACTTTTTGTGCTATATAAAACGCACTCGGTGGTTCAATTACTAAGGGAGGGAAAAAAACAAATGGCTTCGGCCAGTGGTATCACAACGGGCTTTTCCAGCCCACGTGTGCTCCGCGTTCTGCGCGGGGCAGCCACTCTAACCTAACCTAACCTAACCATTGGGCTGCCATAAACAATGTCACCGTATTATACATATATATGTATGTATGCGTATTGGGGTGGTCAGAGAATGCTTGTTAATGCATGGGAAAAAACAACTTTTCGGATAAATGGTACAGATTTTTTGAAAATAAAATTTTTTCGATCAGAAAGCTCTGTTTCTCTTCAGGAGATTTGCAATAATAATACCCAATTTGTTTTTTAATTATCTTTACGTACTAACTATATTTTTTAGGTCCGCCAATCTCCTAGAAAATGCAATGAGGGGACCAATAAAAAATTTGAATCTTAATTCTGTAAGTAGAAGTAGCTCACATTCTTTCCTTTTATGCACGAATACTCACCACATCTCCATATCCACCCACGCCGTTGGTACCCGTCGGTGGTGAATGCGGTTGCTGCTGGTGGTGCTGATGTTGGAGTTGTTGTTGTTGTTGCTGTTGCATTTGTAGTTGTTGTTGCTGTTGTTGCGCCGCACATAAAAGTGATGCTGCCGCCGCAGCAGAATGTGGAGGCATACTCATACATAGTAGTCCACCGCTAGCGCTGACTGTCTGCATAAGTCCATTGCTGCCCGCCGGCAACGCAACGTTAGGTGGCAGGGACTGCGATTGCGCTGCGCTAATCACTTTATGCGCGAACAATGGTGGTGTTGGAGTGAAGGTGGCCAGTTGCGAGGGATGTGACATTGTGACACCAGTGATGGTGGTTTGTCCGCCGAACATTGGACTCGTAGAGTACATCGGATGATGAGCCAAATCGATCTATGTGAATTAAAAAGTAAAGCAACAGAAAGGAAAATGAAATATGAGGGTGTGTATGAAATATTATACAAATGTATTAGTATGTGTGCATGTAATTACGCGTTGACTTTAATTAGTTATTAATGTGTCGATCGATTAATGCGGCAACAACGAATGTGGCTAAGTTTGGCGTTTGTGCTGACGAAATGACGGGCTGTTGTGAAAATCTCATCAGAAGATACACAAAAATTCATTGTACTTATGCATATGGTATATTTGATTAAATTTTGTATGTGACATTAGTAATTGGCAAACAATCATATACACAAAAGAACATGCATTCATTTACGTTTGTTAGACAAAGTTATATTCACAAAAGCTGGAATGAATGCACAGACAAGATATTAGTTACATTAATTTACAAATAACTTTATTTTGGTCGCTCAGCAAACCCATTTTATTTAAATAAATTTGTAAATCCTTCTCACTAAAACACAAAATAACATCCATCAAACTAACAACGGCTATATAACTTGAAGGTATACAAACAGGAGTTCAGTTTAGTATAAGAAAAATGCAAAAATTTCGGGAACAGAAAATGTCGCATGAGCCATCGAACGAAAGAAAAATTGTTGCTTTCAACGTGAGAGTACACCAGTTTAAAGCAAATTATTTTATAAAATTTGTTTAAACCCCTAAAAAAATTAAAAATTAATTTTGCACTGCCTTAGTAGTTTTTCAACTATAAACGTATGTTTTTTGAATATAGGGAATTTTTAGTATGACTACATGCTCTATGCATCTCTGTGTGTGAGACAAAAACTAACCTAAAAACGGTTCTGGAAGAACCCAAATCCGACTATAAAAGAACCAAAAAACGGTTCCGGAAGAATCGGAAAATGATTCTGAAATAACCGAAAAAATTAGCAAAAAGAGCGGAAAAAAGTACAAGAATCCGAGGGGAACCCCGTTGTAAAATTGTTCCTTCTCTCGAAAATTTCCCATAAATCCCTTAAGGCGCCCTTTTTTAAAATTGGGATATAGAGAGATTTTGAGGGCGGAAAATGCAAAAAAGGAGAACTATTTCAGCCATAAATAGGACATTTCGTTTTTAGGCAAACAGGTGGACTTTTGCTCCTAAAGGAGGACATAATAAAACAGTAAAAGTACGCTTTTAGACAGATATGACTTTCTAAGTATGTAATTAACTATGTTTTTTTCTTTTTAATTATGATGTTCTTCTATTTCGTTTAAATGACTGCAAGTTATTTGTCTATTATTTGCATTCATGTGTTGGTCTTAATTGCTTTCGTTAAAATAAGCTTTATATAATTTAGATATTCGTGAGTGAAATCATTTTTAAATATTTACCCACTGTAGCAATTACTCTAAGTATAAACCACAAGAAATGTAAAACGACGTTCCTAATATGTGGAAATAGGAATACTCACTAATAAATATGCAAAAATAAAAATGTTTGGTCTGGGTCCATTTCTATACCTCGTTAAAACCTACAAAACATGTGTGGAGTGCTTTCTGAAGTGAAATCGATCAGCCTCCGTCCGATATCGGAGATTTCGTCGTGGAATCTGAACTTTTTGTAAAGAAGTTGTGCTCCCAGGATTGTTTAAGAAGTCGAGTTATTTTTTCTGTCGTGTCATGGGCGCAAATGAAGCAGATGTTGAAAAGTTAATGACTGCATTCGACGATGGAGTAACTTTCCCACCACAAATCTGACACCGAATTTGCACTCCTTTACGTGAGAGATGTAGTAATTTATTTTATGATGGGGATGCAAGTGTTTCATTTACTCAACGTTCTTAATTATGGTCTCGGAGATTGCAAGTGCATGAATTCAAAACATTTTTCGTGAAAGTTGTTATGGGGTCTCATCCGAGGCTTTGTTTTAATCGCTTATGTATCATCAGTTAGCACGAAAGAGTGTAATTTTCCTTATCTTTCCTTCAGTCCTTCGAACAGAGGAACACATACTGTGTTTTCGTTTTTGCTTCTTTTCTTTAATATTTCGAAGAGAATTTATCTAAAATTTCGAAGTGATGAAAGTCCATCCAAACTCATACCACTCAAAGAACTAGTCAGCCTTCACATCAATTTATATCCCTTAAACAACTGGAATGTTATTGGCTTTTCGATTCAGGGTGGCATATGTGTGTGTGTGTGTTCATGAGTAATGCTATAAGAAAATTTCTATAACAATGTTTTATGGAAAATAATTTCATTTGCGTACATATGATAATTGAATGAACATGTACTGTTGGTGCAAAATTTCAGACAAGTAATAATGCAGTATTTTATATGTTAACTGAAATGTAAATGCATGTGAACCAAAAGCATTGTAGATAGATTTGATGTAATCAAGATGATAATTTCTAATTTACATGTCATAATTACCGAAAGTAAAACTCATAAGTACAAAAAAGAGTAATTAAATATCACATTAACATACATACAAAGAAGTGAGTAAGTATTAGAGAGCTTAATGAAATTCATTTTGAATATCAAAGGTATAAATGTCAAAGTTAGATTATAGTAATTAAGAATGTTGATTATATAAACAACGAAATAATTTTACTATGCACATATCGCATATTTCCTGCCAAGAGTGTTGTAATCCAAAATAATACAAAATTTATTGTTACATTTTCAAGAAAACGTGTGTTCGTCTATGAACATACACGATACATGGCGTATGAGTAACCTCCTTTCTGGTCATATCTAAATATACATAGTATAAAGGAGAATCTCGAAAACTACTGAACGGATTTGGGCGAATTTTCTCTGTATCGATAAGAGAGTGGCTTTTGGTATTTATAATTTCTATAGGGTGGCCACCTGTCTGAAAAATTATAAGATCCGCACCGTTCGTTGGACTACAAAAAATTAGGGGTCAAATGTAACGGATTGGCCACTATACAAGCATTAAGTAATGTTTTATTTTTTTGAGTAGGGTTTGCAGCTGTTAAGAAAATTATTATATTCAGTCTTAATATGTGAAGCCATCACTTCTGCACGGTCACTGCCAAAGTCTTTTCAGACTTAGCCTCTAGAAAGGAACCCTTCGTTGAATTACCAAACGTGAGATGTCAAATGAAAGGGCTTGGCCTCTAGTTCATCAATGTATTATGTTTTGAGTATGGTTGCCACATTTTTAAAAATTATAAGATCTTCACCGTTCGTTGCACTTAAAATGAGGTACCAAGGGAAAGGATATGGTTTCCGGAAGTGCAATAAGCTTTTAATTTTGTGAGTGGCATCCTTTGTCAATGACATCAGATATGTACACTTAATTCAATTATCAAAAATGGGATATCCAATCAGAGAGCTTGGCCTCCGGATATGCAATAAGGTGTTTTTTGAATAGGGTTGCCACTTGTACGAAAAATATAAAACGTGGGATGTTGGTTGGACTTAACAGTGAACTGTCACATGAAAGGACTTGGCCTCCATATATGCAATAACGTTTTAATAAATTAAATTTAAAAAATTATATTAAACAACCCCATTAAGTTTGAGGCCGTTCTGTTTTGTTTGAAAACCATTGTGAAAAAACAAAAATAATTTATAAATGGTAGAAGTCATATATATGTATGATTTTTGAATATAATTGTTATAAGACCATAAATGACAAAAAAAATAACTTAAGGACGAGCACACCTAAAAGTTAAACATTCGAAAGATAGAGAATTATTTACAAAAACTAACAAAACCAACAACCACATGATCAAGTGTAAATAGCAGCGGAGTAGCTGCGATTGGTTTGGTTTGGCTCAGATGGGAAAAAGTGGAAAAAACAGTTTATTAGGCGAACTTAGCACAGTGTGTAGGCCACTGACTGAGTCAGCTGGAATCGTTGGATCGAATCCCACAAAAGAAGTCTGATGAGGAGTTGTAGTAATTTCCGAAATAGCAGCTTTAACTTCTTCCGTTTATAAATTATTGTTGTCTTCCCACAATAGTTTTTATTAAAAAAACAGCCTCAAGCTCAATAAGATTGTTGAATATAATTGCTATGAGGCCATTAATAACAAAAAATAAAATAAAAAATTAAAAAATTAAATAACTAAAATAATCTGATTTCCGATTACTAAGATTACACTGGAATCAATGAAAGCTCTTTTGTTTTTGTTGGTTTTTATCTTCCGTTAATTAACTTATAAAAAAATTGTACAAATTAAAAAAATAAAGAAGTAAAACAAATGAGTAAAAGAATGGGGAAATTTATTCCTGTGACCTCGTCGCTCTAGATATTGCAAGTGTTGAAATTCGCATGCTAATAGCAGGTGAAATTTTGAAAGAATTTTTTAAATCGATTTATTAATTTTAGCCACATGAATTAACTTTTTAAAACAATTTAACATAAAACGCTGCACGTGAAATTTTTCAATAAAATTCTTATTTTATCTCCTTAAATAATATAAATTAAATAATTAAAATGATAGCCTTAGTTGATAGATAGGCAACCCTTCTCAGAAAAACATGCCAGTGTTAAAACTTGTCCAAACACCTTCTGTTTGATACCCAAATTGTGATATTAAATAAGCAGACATTGTTTTAATAAACGTAATTGTAACTTTTTAGGAAGGTGGCAACCCCACTCCGAAATATTTTTTTAATCTCTTTAAACGGTTTTTGTTTTACTGTAGAAATTTAAGTATGCTGTGGAGCTTTTAAATTATAATAAATTTTCATATAGTTATCTGGCAACTCTGATTTTATATTTTTTTCCAGAAATTTTCTAAAGATACTTAGTAGAATGGGAGAAAATAAAGCAAAACCGTTAAGTTAATACGTTTATAATTTTTTGACACCGGTACTTTTCGATATACCACGGATTTTGATACCTTAGATAATAAGCAATGCCATAAACATTTTTTTCAACAATTTTGGCCACTTTTTCTCTTTTCTGGCACACTGTGAGCTTTACCGATTCCCAACAAGCATTTCAGTAAATGTTTTTAAAAATAACTTAAAGTAAGTTTGCTATAATAAGCGTTAGATAA